TTAACCATAGTTTAACCATGGTATTTGCAATAAAACTGTGGTTATACAAATGGTAATCAATATACCAAAAAAATAAAATAACATACTACCATTTTACTAAAGGCTAAACCATGGTTAAAGGGTGTAATGAAAATTTAAAAATAACATAGCATGATAAATGTTTTAAAATAACAATATTAAAAATATAGATTAAAAAGTAAGCAAGTTGCAGTAAAACTAAAACAATATAAAAACACAATAACAACCGTGTAATAGCAATATTCACTGTAACTATGGATTGTGTTGCCTCAGTAAAATCGTTGGTTGCAGTTCTTTCTTTGATGCTTTCTCTAACATACGTGTCTTTAATTTATGTTGGGTAGTTAGTACTTTTTTATGAAACATAAAAAGCTAGCAGAGGATGGTTTCGATCCATCGACCTCTGGGTTATGGGCCCAGCACGCTTCCGCTGCGCCACTCTGCTTTCGTAACGCCAGCGGGAATTTCCCTGTCTATCAATACAACACGCCTCCAATACAGAAACACGCTTTCTGCTGTCAGGTTACGGAGCCACTATTACAATGATGACATTACTTATAATAGTGGCTCATATTACATTTGAACTATGTATTTATATGTATACGTCTTTAGATATTCATATGAGTTCACTTCGTTTCTTCTATCGCTACATCTGGGCTAATCGAGCCTACTCTGCGCTGAGCAGCGCCCTCTACCGGTGGACTAAAATATACCACACTGCACATTAGTCAAATAAATGTTTTTATTTATTTAAAAAAAATCATTTTATTCACCACAAAACCACTGGAAATAACATGTCTGTGAAAGATCATCTGCTGCTATAATAAAAAATAAAATAAAGAGAGAGAGAAGTAAAAAAGAAATTTGAAACAAAATAACCAATACGGTAGTTTTATGGTCTCCTCTACTATGATATTTACGGTTGCATAAGGCTGTGTGCGCAATGGAACACTAACATACTACTTAGCGGACAGTATCCAGTATATATACTTTAATTAAAATATTACGTGAAACTATGCACTGAACGATAAACGTTGCTAAGCTGCGGGCTATTAACATTTTACTTTCTGCGCACTAAAAAAACCCCGCATACGCTCACAGCATCGATACTGCAGAAGTAGAACGAGTAGTACGAGTAGTACGGTAGTATGGTATTGCGCACACAGCCTGCGTCGCTCAGCGTCTCTCATGTGATGAAAACACGGAACACGGAAGAGACTTTCCTGCTCTCTGGGTGAGAAAATAAACATGAAATACTAGCATAAAATACATCATATACTCCTCATACAGCGCTCGTGTCATCTAATTCTTATTCGTAATCTATTATCGCCGTGTTTACATAATTAATCTAATGTTAGACGTACCAATGCAATGTTTCGATCGAAGTGTATTTATCGCATAGAATAAAACAAGGCGCACGCTCAGTGATGTATATTCGTCGGTTTCTTCATTCATATCTCAAGATCTTGATAATAAACCGCGTTATTCTGTCAGATATTTAATGTACTTTCAGTTTCACGCGGTTCGGTGTCATAAACACCCATACAGATGGTCTGAACCACACGATTCGTTCTCGCTTCTGCTTTTATGTCTCTTTTAAGTGATTTTATTCTAGTTTCACGCTATAAGGCTGACAGGATCACGCGCGGACGCGGGAAATTCCCGCAGCTCTGTGACGTCACGGCGAAACATTGTATCAATCCCGCAGCTGATTTCACAATATCCTCAGTACAGCGGCAAGCACGCACGGTATCGTGATATTAACCGCGATTACAGTTGTGCTTTGTCAGTTTGGTGTAAATGTCACAGTTGTTACGAAACAGGACAGCTAATACTATGGTAATACTATGGTATCTGAAAATATACTATAGTATGTATAACTCATGGTCAATTTTTTGAAATTGAGATTTATACATCACATGAAAGCTAAGCTTTCCATTGATGTATGGTTTGTTAGGATAGGACAATATTTGGCTGAGATACAACTATTTGAAAATCTGGAATCTGAGGGTGCAAAAAAATCTAAATATTGAGAAAATCATCTTTAAAGTTGTTCAAATGAAGTTCTTAGCAATGCATATTACTAATCAAAAATTAAGTTTTGATATATTTACGGTAGGAAATTTACAAAATATCTTCATGGAACATGATCTTTACTTAATATCCCAATGATTTTTGTCATAAAAGAAAAATTGATAATTTTAACCCATACAATGTATTGTTGGCTATTGCTTCAAATATACCCATGCTAATTATGACCGCTTTTGTGGTCACATATGGTGAAGTTTCTCCGTGGTGCATGTTCATTATCATGGATTGCCATTTGATTTGTGTTTTCAGAATTTGGATTGAATCCATCTGATCCTCATGAATATGTAATATATGCTAATGTGTTTCCAGGTGAATCTATAGAGTCATCATGCAGAGTACGGCGAACTACCTGTGGATGATGTCTGACCTGCTGGGTCAGGGAGCCACAGCTAACGTTTACCGCGGTAGACACAAGGTATCCGTGTGTTTATGTTGATATTGCACTGTCTGTACTTCATTTGCTTTGTGTTGTAAACTACAGCTACATTGTCTGGATACAGTCTGGATTTTGATTCAGTGACAGTGAATCTTTTGAATGATTCGTTTACATTCTACACAGCTGGTGTTTACTCATTCCGAGTGATGTACCGTGATTGAAAATCTCGCTGTGTGTCTGCAGAAAACCGGCGATCTCTATGCGGTCAAAGTGTTCAATAACCTGAGCTTCCTGCGTCCGCTGGACGTCCAGATGAGGGAGTTCGAGGTGCTGAAAAAACTCAACCACAAAAACATCGTGAAGCTCTTCGCCGTTGAGGAGGAGGTGAGACCCACGCAGTCTCAAAACGATCTTATCTTAGCAACTGCTATGTCAAATGTAGCTTATATAAAGGAATAGTTTCTCCAGAAATGGAAATGTGCTCACTCTCAGGCCATCCGAGAGTTTGTTTCTTCGTCAGATTTGGAGAAATGTAGCATTGCATCAGTGTCTCATTGCAAGTGAATGGGTGCCGTCAGAACGAGAGCTGCATCAGAATGAGAGTCTGATAAAAACATCACAGTAATCCACAGCACTCCACTCCATCAGTTAACATCTGGAGAAGACAAAAACTGAGACAAATCCAGCATTAAGACCTTTTTAACTAAAATATGAGGCTATGTATATATTAATGCGGTCTGAATCAGGAGAGAAATCTGCACAGATCAAGCACTGTTTACAAGCCAAAACCGCTCTAAACAAATATGTGGCTGGATTTTGATGCGAGAGATAACAGGAGATGGACTTTTTCACTGGAGGAAGCGTTATTATGGATTATGGACTCGTATTTGAGTTAAAAACGTCTTAATGCTGGATTTGTTTCAGCTTTTGTCTTCTCCAGATGTTAACTGATGGACTGGAGTGCTGTGGATTATTATGATGTTTCTATCAGCTCTCGTTCTGACGGCACCCATTCACTTGCAGTGAAACACTGATGCAATGCTACATTTCTCCAAATCTGATGAATAAACAAACTTGGGTGTACTGTTTCTTTAAAAAACCTTTCAGCTCATATAAGAATAATATCAGTTTAGTTTCTGTTGTTTCATGATGGTTTTGATTTTCTGCTTCTCTGTTTTTCTGCTGAAGTTCTGAAAACTCTTCCCTGTTTTACTTTCACAAGCACACACCTGTAATACCTGTTTGCTCCAAACTACGAACGTCAAAGGTTCTTGTCATTCAGAAATATGATGATCATTTTTTGAATGTTTATGTTGTGTGTCAGTCGAACACGCGTCACAAGGTGTTGGTGATGGAGTATTGTCCGTGCGGAAGTCTCTACACGGTTCTCGAGGAACCGACGAACGCTTACGGACTCCCGGAGGACGAGTTCCTCATCGTTCTGCAGGATGTCGGTAAGTTCTAGATTGGTGTATTCAGTGGAAAAAGGTTCTTTAGATTGTTAAAATGTTCCTCAGACTAAGGGGCCGTTCAATCAGAAAGCGTTTTTCTATTCCAGTGCGCTACTTTTCCATTGTTTTTCTATGTAAACGCGCTAGACAGATGTGTGTGAGCATTGTGCTCGCATCTCACGTCTTTTGCAGCGCCATGTCAAGTTAAAAGAATTTAATCTTTTACAAGCAGCGCCGCGCATCGATGTCAGTTCCAGAGCAGTGGACCAATAAGAAGACCCCGGAGGCGGGGCAAGTGTTGCGAGCTATTGTTTACAGTAGCAAGTTGGCATGGCAGCTGTTTTATTTGACGGCAACATGGCAGAGGAGGCATTATGTACTGCGATTTAAAAAAAAAAAAAGTATTTATTTTTTTAAAACCATTCCTGAGCACTGCGTTTCACATTTTTAGATGCGCTAATGCACAACTTTTCCATTGTTTTTCTATGTAAACGCACTAGATGAACATGTATGAGCGTTGCGCTCGTGTCTCAAGTCTTTTGCAGCATCTCACACATGAGTGTCGTGTTTTTAAGATGCTGAGTCAAGTTAAAAGAATTTCAACTTTTACACCTGGTGTGCCTCACACGTCCTGAAAAGTGAAGCTGTGGGCTCTTTGATCGCCCCCTGGTGGCTGGATGCAGTACAGGTCATAAACCCTGCCCTCTCCATGTAAAAGAATGGGACTTATATAAATAAAAAAATTAATTACACGTCATGCGGAGCGTATTAGGAGTTTCTCTGGCCTTCGGATGGAGATTTACTGCTGATCACAGAACCGTGCTTCACTGACGAGATGCGCATGACAATCAGCTTTTGCCTAATCACGACTGTGATCCCTAGAAAACGTGACGCCCGTGTTTCGTGATCCTCGCTGATCTCTCTGTGTGTTTTTGCAGCATCCTGACATGTACGAGCGAGCCGTGCTGAGGAAAGACCACCAGAAGAAATACGGAGCCACGGTGGATCTGTGGAGCATCGGAGTCACATTTTATCACGCCGCCATCGGCAGCCTGCCATTCAGACCATTTGAAGGGCCTCGCAGGAACAAAGAAGTCATGTGAGTGCCATCAAGCACACTTCAGATTCACATGCTTGACTTAGGGCTGGGCGATATAACGGTAAAACCGTTTGACTGATTCAAGATTTAAATTTTACATTTATTTGACATTTAACTAGTGAACTTAAAAACATAACAAGTAAAATTCTCTTTATTAACCATTTGGTTAAAGAAAGTTCTATTCTAAGTGAATAGAACTTCACATGCATTTCAACATGGTGTTGATGTAAAACAAATGACCCCCCACTTTTGGACGTGAAAATGCATTTCCTGAACTTAAATGGTTGTAATTCATGAACACTTTGGAATACAGACCCTTAGGTCTCTTCATAAAGAAAACAATCAGCAAAATATTGCCGAAGTGAATTTCAAAAAATTAAAGTATTAAAATGTTATGAAAGTTTAAGTTTAAATGTACTGTACTGAAAAGTTTTTATTTTATATGAAACATTTTACAAAATATTTTTAATATAAAATTGATATATAATTAAATCCAACTGATATATATTAGAAAGCCATATAAAGCCATAAGTTACGTTCCAATATTTAAAACAAAGAATTTAGGTTTCTGTGAGAATTTATTTAGGCGTTATACCAAAAATAGCCACCGGGTGACACCCAAATTCCATTGAATTTTTTTTTGACGCAATTTCCTGTCAGAAATATATACATTCTTCCACAGTATTACTTCTATCACAAAATCTTGGAATCTTGAGACTCGGGTCTTTCCAACAGTATGTATTTTGTCAAGATCATAAAAAGTTTTGATTATAAAATATCATAATACTTTTTGTAATATGATGCTTGACACTGCCCACTATAGGGTAGAATGCATCGAATGCGTTTTTCCATTCCGATGCGCTACTTTTCAATGTTTTTATATGTAAACACGCCCTAGACGCCGGACGGATATGACCGTTGCTCTCGCATCTTTTGACGGCGTGTCAAATTAAAATAATTTCAGCTTTTACTTGCAGCGCAGCTCATCAATGTCAATGTGGTTCCAAAACAGTGGACCAATCAGAAGAGCCCAGAGGCGGAGCAAGTGTTGCAAGCCTTGTTTACAGTAGCAGGTTGGCATGGCAACTGCTTTATTTGATGCAAACATAGCGGAGGAGGCGGAATTCTGTGTATTGGCAACATGTCCAATTGTAACGTTTGCTAATAGTTTTTTTTTTTTTTCAAAATTCCTCGATTTAAAAAAAAGTATCTTGGCAAAACATTACATTTGATTATTAATCAATAAAATCAGAAAGATCGCCCCAGCCCTAGTTTGGCTAGTAGGGATGTAATGAGGCACCCCGAGCCGATTGCTTTAACATTTCTATTTAGTTTTGTTATTTGACATAAAATATATTTCAGTTTCACCAAGGAATGTGCAGTATTTTGTCTGAGAAATAATAAAAGGACATCTTTTCATTTACATTTTGTCTTAAAACCCATTTTGTTAAAAAATCATGAGAAAATCGTATGGTGAAATCAGTACCGTGAATCGTATCGCATCGTGAGTTGAGTGAATCGTTTTATATGAAGATATTTATTTTATTTGTATTTAATTATTTGATTTGGGATTTGTTTAAAAATTTCAAGTTAGTTTTTATTATTTGACATTTTAATTTCACAAAGAAATGTGCAGCATTTTGTTGGATAAATAATAAAAGGACACCTTTTCATTTATAATTTGTCTTAAATCTCATTTTGTTAAAAAGAAAAATTATGAGAAAATTGTATTGTGAAATCAGTACCGTGAATCGTATCGCATCGTGAGTTGAGTGAATCGTTACATCTATATTGTCTAGATGCTGATTGTTGTTGATCTGGCAGGTATAAGATCATCACAGAGAAGCCTGCCGGCGTGATCTCGGGCCATCAGAAGTTTGAGAACGGGAAGATCGAGTGGAGCTCAGAGATGCCGATCTCCTGCAGCCTCTCGAAGTGAGTCTGAGTCTCCAGACGGTCCGGTTCGTTTAGAGAAGTGTGTCTGATGTGTGTTTGTGTGTTTCAGGGGTCTTCAGAGTCTCCTCACTCCAGTGCTAGCCAACATCCTCGAAGCAGACCAGGAGAAATGCTGGGGCTTCGACCAGTTCTTCGCTGAGACCAGCGATATCTTACACCGCATCGTGGTCTATGTGTTCAGCCTGCAGCAGGCCACGCTTCACCACATCTACATACACGCATACAACACGTGAGGATGCGTGCAACTCACACACACTCACACATTCACATACTCACACTCTCACACACAAACACACAAACTCACACTCTCACACTCACACTCACACTCTCACACACGCTCACACACACACACATTCTGTGTTATTTTGACTAACAAGTATTTCTGTGTTTGTTCAGATCAAGATGCAGGAGTTGGCGTTAGAGATGCAGTTGACTCCGTTCCTGGTGTTGTTACGGAGCACTCTAGAACAACTGCAGGAGCGGGACACCAATAACTTCTTCATCGAGCCTGTACCTTTAAGTGAGGTATACACACACACACACACACACACACACTCTCTCACACATACACACTCACACACACACACACACTCACACTCACGCATACACACACACTCACTCACACACACACTCACACTCACGCATACACACACACACACACACACACACACACACACACACACACACACACACACACACACACACACTCTCTCATACAAACACTCGCACACTCACACACTCACACGCACACACTCACACACACACACACACACACACACACACACACGCATACACTCACACTCACACACACACGCATACACTCTCACACACACACTCACACACACACTCACTCACTCACACACACAACGCTTGATCGCGATGGACCCTTTTCACACACTGCAATGATGCACTTTATATAAAGTTTTGTTTTCTTTTTTTTTTTTTAAATGTAACATACATTTATAAGACTATATTTTGTGTTTTAATTACAGGAAAACTGAGTTAGTTTGCTGCAAATTCTACATATTGACAAACCCATTTCCTCCACCGAATTAAAACAAAAAAATAGTAATTGTGACTTTTGAATCTCACAATTCTGACTTTTCTTCTCAGAATAAAAAATTAGCAATTTAGTGCAATTGCAAGTTAACATCTCACATTCATGAAAGAAATCAGAATTGTGAGATAAAAAGTCACATTTTTATTCCATTGCAGAAACAAAAAGAATAGCAAGATGTAAACTCATAATTCAGAGGAAGGAAGTCACAATTGCAAGATAGAAACTCAGAAAAAAAGTCAGATTGCAATTTTGTTTTAAATCTCAGAATTCTGATCTCCCCCCCTTCAAATTTGGGATAAAAAGGATTTTTTTTTTTATTCAGTGGTGAAAACAGGCTTCCATGTCAAAGTAATCCTAAATGGAAATGCAGAAATGATACTTGTTGTAGTTTTCATTCACCACTGCAGTGTGCAATAACTGTTTTCTTCAGACTCATTAGCTGCTATGTAAATAACTAGAAGAATAACAAAGCGCAATGAATCTTAAAACTGTGCTACGAATGCAAGAATCGGCTAAAAACACATCTCTTCCATCTTTATTTGACCCTCAAAAAAAAACTAACACTATCTGCTCTATTCTTTTTGTATTCTATCTATTTGTTTTCTTTTTATTTATTATACAATTAGCAAATAGCAAAAAAAAGGCCTCTAACACTAGCTTGCTCTATTCTTTTTCTATACTCTGTTTTCTTTTTATTTATTATATAATAAAAAAAAAAGAAAAAAAACTTGCTACGTGTACTGCGCTAAGCTAACTGAGACTTGTTACAGCACTTGCGTATCATTGCTCTTTTGTTGATTTTGATTGCTTCCATTGGCCTCATTGGATAAAAGCGTCTGCTAAATGACTAAATGTAAATGTAATGTAAATGAATGCATGACGACTTTTGCTTGTAAAAAAACAGCAGAAATGTTAAAAGGGTCTTTTCGTTCTGCAGTCATCTTCATGCTAATGTAAAGATCATTTTATGTCCATTTATTTGTGTGTAATCTGTGTCATGTTATATTTTCTCTCCGTTCAGGGCGAATCTCTTTCAGGAGCTGCTCTTCAGACAGACAAACATAACGCCATCCCATCAGGACTTTCTGTACGAGGGCCGACACCTCGTCTTCGACCCCATCCAGCAGGCTCAGACCTTCCCCAAGACCTCCAGAGAGAATCCCATCATGCTGCTGAGCCGAGACCCTGTCAACACCGTCGGCCTGCTGTTTGAGGACCGTGAGTCTGACGACGCCCCAGTCATGCCATGCTCGCTCATAAGTAAGGGATGTAACCATATCAAAATCTCACGATACGATATTATTGCAAAATATGAAGTCCACGGTACAATATGTGACCCTGGAGCACAAAACCAGTCTTAAGTGTCAATTTTTTGAAAGTGAGATTTGAATAAATGAATAAATAAGCTTTCCATTGATGTATTTGTTAGGATAGCACAATATTAGGCTGAGATACAACTATTTGAAAATCTGGAATCTGAGGGTGCATAAAAATCTAAATATTGAGAAAATCATCTTTAAAGTTGTCCAAATTAAGTCCTTAGCAATGCATATTACTAATCAAAAATTAAGTTTTGATATATTTACGGTAGGAAATAGGGCTGCATGATTATGACAAAAACCATAATTGACGATTATTGCCTTAAAATTGTAATTGTGATTATTAATTACGATTATCACAATTTACACTGAATGATGTTTATACCATTGTTTGATGCAACTGCATGCCGTATTTTTATATGAAATTAAACAAGCTGAAAATACTCTAACTGAAAAACCTTTAGTGCTTTTCTATAGTATTAAGCCTCAAATGTCAACTATACATCAGATTGGTTTCTTCTTTAAATTATAAAAAAAGTAAAAATATAAATGGTATTATAGTGTTATACTAAAACTAAAATTAAAACAATGGAAAAACCCTTAAGATAACATGTAGAAAGAAAAAAAAAA